GCATGCAATAGCCTTCCCTGGCTTCCTCATTTGGTGGTTATGATGAACCAGAGACAGAGAGTTCTCTTTTCTTACAAGGACACTGATCTGGTCAGATTAAGGTCCCACCCTTGTGATCTCATTTTACTTTAATGACCTCCTTACAGGTCTCATTTCCATATGTAGTCACATTTGGGGTTAAGGCTTCAGCTGGTGAATTTGGAGGGGGAGACAATTCAATCCATAAGTCTTTCACCATCTTTGCTCCATAGCCCAGCTTCAATGATATAGGTTTAAATAGCTCATGCAAGAAAAGCTGGGACTTTTTGTCACAGAAGTAGCAGTACATCCGGTCCCACGAGTTATAGAAAATAAAGATTCAGTAGGTAAAAGGAAAGATTCAGGACTTAGAAGAGTTGTGGGTCTTCCACTGTCCTATACTAATCAGAGGAGCTAACAGCTAGTGACAAGGTCCCTGTTTTGCACCTAGCACTCCTGTAGTAGCCTTCCAATTGTAAAAGTTGGATGATTGTAGTATTATTTCTACCTTCTAAATATTGTGCAAAATTGTTTCGTGTGGCCCATAGTTTGAATGGAACTGTAGCTTCAGATTACATTCCACTTTTATGACATAGAAGAAGAGTAATGGAAAGCTATTAATGGAATGACATGATCCGCTAGGTGTTTTAAAAGACCGGTCTTGTAGAAATTGGAGCGTAACAGAAGAGGCATGAAAAAAGGAAGCAGGTAGGAGAGCATTATGGGAGCCGATGGGAGCCTTGTCTAGGGCAGCAGCAGCAGCAGCAGCAATGGGGGGAGGTTAGTTTGGTAGACTGATTATAAGGATTTTGGAAAGTAAGAATTTATTAATTCTTATGGGCGTGCGGGGATCTCGGGGCGCCAGCTGCTAGCGGTGGCGCCGGTCTCCTGCCCGCACCTGGGAAGCGGCGGCTCGTCTGCTCCGCGTTGCTGGCGGGTCCCTACTTCTCCGCATCTTTGTGGATCTCTGCTACCGGGGCTGGCCCAGTCGAGTTCAGCCCCAATTTCACCCGGGCACTCTCTCTCTAAGTTCGGGACCGTCAGCTGCCGGGTCCGAGGAGAGGTGCGGGACGGCTGAAGCTGGATTTCCGTGAGTCGATGACGGATCCAATTTCACCCGGGCACTCTCTCTCCTAGTTCGGGACCCGTCAGCTGCCGGGTCGGAGGAGAGGTGCGGGACGGCTGAAGCTGGATTTCCGTGAGTCGATGACGGAAGGATAGCGCCCCCCGGGAAGCTGGATCTAGGCAGTAAGACACAGAACTCAGCTCAGTCAGTGGTACAGCCCCTTTATTCAGTGACTTAGCTCGGCTCCAAGTGTCGGGGATCTAGCTCCGATTATTGAGGGGAAACCAGGATATTTTATACTATGGGGGTGGTAGTAAAAACCTTAGCTGATAGGTACTCCTGGAATGCTTCATTTACATAGGGCGGTGGGCTTCTATCAGGCTATCAGACAACGCCTGATTAAAACCTGGTAGCTCCTGTGCCGGAGGGCAGGGGCATTTCAAAAGTAAGTCAGGGAGGAGAGCAGAAGGCGCCCTGCTGAGAAGGGGAGTCCCCCCATTTGTGCTGAGCCAGCTTGTGGCTATCCGGACATGGGGAGACTGCTACCCTAAACAGCAGGGGCCCCCAACAAATTCCAGGGCTTCATCTGGAACAACAGAAGGAAGGGTAGCAGAGGTGATATAATTAGGAATTACTAGAGGAGGAAAAGGTTGTTCTGAAGACATGAAGGTATTCATCTGTGGAGACAAACCAACAAACAGTAGCTGAAATAACTGACTCGTTTGGGGGTTTTAAACAACCAGAGATCCTGGGGTGATTATTTCAGGATTATCATTGTCATAGACAGTTTCAAGGTTCTCTTTCTTCCCCCTTTTCCTCCATCCATCCCTCTGTCCTTTTCTTCCTTCATCCCTTCTTCTCTAGCCTTAGTATGTAGGCTTCTATGCTCAGAGTTGTTGCCTCAGAGTTTCAAGATGGCTGCTACATCTCTGCGCACATTCTAACCATGGAAAGACAGAAAAGGGCAAGAGGCCAAACTATCATACCACCAATGCCACCTCTTTTGAAACAATCTCTCCAGTTTCATTTAAAGCAAAAAATTCCATTAAATGACTTCTTATATCTTACATTTTATTGGACAGAATAGTTATAAGACCATTATATTTGGGGGCTTGGGGGAGGAGGAGCTAGGTGGATGGTGCTTGGGTCAACTTTATATTGGTTTTGTTTTGTTTTTGATCTTTTTGAGACAGGGTCTCCCTGTAGCCCCAGCTGGCCTGGAATTCTCTATGTAGACCAGGCTGTCCTTGAACACACAGAGATCCACCTGCCTCTGCCTTCTGAGTGCTGGATGGGTCAACATCATGTTGGATGAACAAGTTGTTTAGCTGTGTGTGAGAGAGAAGTGAAAATGTCAAGTATCAATTTTGGCAAATGAGTGTGTATCTTGGAAATAGCATATATATTTATTTACCTGGCTCATGCTGCTGGATTGCAATGCAAAACAGCAAGTCCCAGCCAGTGTGTTCTTAACCCACCCTAAAAAGCAAGTTTCTGTGCACATGTATGTGTTTGCGAAGTAGAACTGGGCTTGAACATGCTGCTGCTCTAATAGCTAAGTCTGCTCTCTGGATTAACACAAAATGAAAGCGATTCCTAGTGATGGAGTGCTCGTAGAGAGGGAAGCATTCTGTTATTCAACTGTTCATTACCTCTTTTCTGGGCTCTTAGCTTCTCTTGATCTGTTGTACATGAGAAAAAAATACTGCATCTTTTCTGCAGAATAGAAGTGAACTGTGGCCTGTAAGCAAAGTCTATCCAGATTCTGTAAATAAATGTTACCAGAACATGTATTTCTGTGGTGATGGCTGTTTTCATATTGAACAACAGAGCCTGAAAGTGGCAACAGTGGTCATATGGCCCAAAGAGACTAAAATATGTACTATCTGGCTTTTTATAGAAATAAACTGGTAACCTCCAGAGTCAATCATACTTATTCTGTTGTTACCATCAGATTAATTACCTAGTTCTCTCATAGAGAGATGCCATATGAAATGTCAGAGGCTGTGTGTATTTGAGCTCAATATTATTAATTTATCATCTGCCCTTTTGGTTTCCTTCCTTAGAACACTTTCCTTTTCCTGGTTCACTCTTCCGCCTGTATTTGTGGAATCTACCAGCTCAGAAACCTGCAGTGGCAGCAAACAAGTAGGGCGCTTGCTCCTCGCAGCTCCACTAGATGCCCTGCAGATGGACTTCGTCACTCAACCCTGTTATTCTATGGAACAGCAGGGCTCAATATCATCACTCAATTCTGCTCAATGATGGCACTGTTTATGAGAAATCTCAAGAAAACTTTGTCAAAAGCATTTGGTTAAAGTTGAAATTTTGGCTGGATCTTCTGGCCTTGCAGGAATTTCTAGTCAGATAGTGTAGCAAACAGAAGTCTATTTCTACTAATCATGGTGTAAAAGCTCATGTCTGGTCATGGCCCTGTCAGTCTGTATGCTTGCAGAGTGTTGCGCAGATGGAATGTAAAGTTCAGATGATTTAATTGTAGAAAGAAGATCGATAGGGTCAGTGGCTTCAGTTGTTCACCTTGCAGATTATGAAGCCTCTTTTCCTATATTTAAGGAGTAAAGATGTCTCAGTTCATGTTCAGTGCATTTCTTTAAGTGCTCAGTGAGGTATCACAGTATTTTAGGAACACAGAAAATTTGTGGTTAAACACTTGGAAAATGTAGGCTTGGACAAATTATACCTTTGGAAATGGAGATCTTTTTTAAAGGTTAAAAACATTCAATTTGATGTGTTACAGGGTTTATACTGAGTTGAATATTGTATAACTGTATTAATTCAACTGTGAACCTAAAAATTTACAGCTACTTTTGAAAGAGATGTATCCTTGTTCTGGAAATTGTTATTGAATATGTTAAAGCTGTGATGAAATGCTTCTTCTAATCATGTGGATTTCTAAGATCCTTGAAATGTCTTTGTGCACAGTCTTTTACAGGAGGGCATATTGTATATGCAGTGTTTCTTAAACATATCTGATTAGGAAAAACTTTTGACTCAAAATATCTTTATTGGACTAGTTTTCTAAATCCTCTTTCAGATAGTCATCTGTCTGACTGTCAGGTGTTGGTTGAAATTTCTAGAGCTTTCTTTTTCTTTGTGGTGCTGAGATCGAATCTAGAACATCTCACGTGAGTTACGGCCTCAGCCCTCTACATTTCTTTGAATAATGGAATATTAGGAATGGAATCCTTTAGTCACAAGCCATGTTTTGGCTTCCACTAGTCTGACAACTGTCACACGTGGGAGTTGAAGTCGCTTGAGATGAACTATAAGAAGACTGTACAGATGGATGAGGAGTGTGAAGTAGCAGAGACTATTTCACCTGGAGTCATAAAACAGAAAGGATGCTGCTCTGCTAGCTAGATGAAGTGTCTTGAGCAAGTCACACAAGTTTTCTGTGTCTGAGAGTCCTCTAAAACGTGAATAATAACAATACCATGTATTTCGAGCTGTTGTGATGTGTACGTATTTACGTACATGACTAAAACTTCAGTACCTGTTATAGCTGTATTGTGGTTTGAATAGGAAATGTTCCCATAGTCTCATGTGTTTAAACACTTGCCCCCCAGCTTGTGGCTATTTGGGAAGGCTATGGAACCTTAAGGAGGTGGAGCCTTGCTGGAGGAAGTCACTAGTGGTGGGCTTTGAGGTTTTATAGCCTGGCCCACTTGTTCTCTCTCTGCTTCTTGAGTGCAGATGCAATGTCATCAGCCTGCTTCCTGCTCCTACCATCATGCCCTCCCCACTGTGGCCGGGTCTCCCCTGCTATGATGGACTCTGTCCTTCCAGAGCTGTGAGCCAGAATAAGCTCTTTCTCCCTTAAGTTGTTTTTGTCAAAGTATTAACCACAACAACAGAAAACAAGCTGTAAGGAAACACATTTTAGGTTCTTAAAAAACTTAAGAAGGATGAGAAATTTTTATTTAGACTAATTTTACTGTAACATTTTTTATAAAATAATTTTATAAAAGAGTCCATCAAGATATTATATAGAAAATACATGCTAAGGTAATATATATACAATTCATAAAAATAGAATACATCTTGACAATTGCTTACAGAGTCGGTTACTACCATGTACAGTGTATAGACGTTTAACATGTTAATTTGACCGTATAAGATTAAAAATCAAGAACTCTGTCCTATTGGTATACCTTAAAGTTGTTTTACTTGGCAGAAAAAAATTTAAAACAGGAATGTAATAGTTACAGAGCTGAGTGAATGAGTGATTATATTAAAATATCAAAGTTCTATGCCATGGACAATGATCTGAGAAGAAAGTAACTTTTCACTAGCATTGTAACAGGTTTAGACAATTTCACAAAATCACTGGAAATAGTACTTTGTTTTGAATGTTTATTTTATTATTAATTTTTTAGTCAAGGTAAGCACCATTTGGGAATCAAACAACCTTTCTAGTAGCTGTACTATATTTCTAAAATAGTGGTGTTTCTTTTTTTTAACCTTAAAATGAAAGTAAATTTATATGTCTTATTATATCAATACTTTAAAATCATTATGCCATAAGTTTTTATGAATACACATAGCAACTTCTTTTATTATTCTAAAAATAGTCAAGTGTCCAAAAATCTATCTGTATTAGTTGTTTTTGTTTTACATTGTTTTCAAGGAAATGATCTTAGCTACTATGCTACTATAAAAACTCACTAATATGTACTGTTAGATGACCAGAATAATCTTTGGGAAGTAACTGCTCCAGTGTAATAAATAAAGGAAATAACAAAGGCCTCTTCAAGACCTAATACAAGAAACAACCATAGTGGGATCATACAAATACTTCAGCAGTACCAAGGAACACACACACAACAGAGTACAGCACCATTTTTAAGTTGCCAAGATGGCAACTCTTCAAGAGATTGTAACCTGTAGGGGTCCTTGATTGCCATGATTAATGCAGTGGACTAGGCTCTGGAGCACTTCCTAGTATGGATAGGCAGAGACAGCTATGTAGACTATGAATGTGGTCTGATACTCAATGGTCCCATTGGCACTGTAGGATAAGGCTCGGACCTTCATGCGGTAAGTCTCTGGCTCTCGTAGTGAACGGGTAGTATACACCACTCCTTTCAAGTTTTCATCCCTTAAGGCAAAAGGAACAGCCTGTTCCTCATCTACCATGAGGAAAGTTGTCCTGGGATGCATCACTCCATCCTGTGTGTATGCAACCAGCCGGATTAAATCTTGATTGGCAGTTATTCCAAATGGGAGGGAGACAAGTTTATATTCCAAAGCGTATGGGCTCAAGGCACATTCCAAATCATTGGGCGGACAGTTCTTGAGGCAGAACCTAAGGACAACAGACATATGAAATACACATGGTTATACACCTTGGAACAGGAGAAGACACTATGTGGGTGATCATAAACCATGGCAACTCTTAGGTATTACATTCTTAAGCTGTTCACCTACAAAATTCACATGTTCTATGTCACTAAAAACGAGATGCCGAATGAATAAAAGAAAATGCTGGTCTACAGTCAAGTATCAATCTTCCTGTTCCATTAAAATCATAAAATGTTAGGTATGGTGACATACACTTTTAATTCCAGAACTTGGGAGGCAGAGGCAGAAGATTCTGTGAGTTCAAGGCCAGTTTGGTCTATGTAGTAAGTTCCAGACCAGTCAGAGTTTGTCACAAAAACAAAAACAGAAACAAAAATAAAAACCCAGAAGTATTGGAGCCCTTGAGGTAAGCAAGAATACTTTATTTCTTTTCTGGGGGAGCACTGTGATTAGACCTGGGCCCTGGGCACACTTAGTACAGGCTCTACCACAGTCCCACCATAGCTCCAAGAACACTTTTCTTAAAATGAAATGTCAGTTCTGTATATATAAGCATATGTGCATATATCAGAAACAAGCACCTAAAGGAAAGAATGCAAGCTACATTCTAGCATCTAGCTTAACATGGGCTGAAAGCTGAAGCAGGATATATTGTTATTTGCTTTACTTTCTAAGGATAATTCAGGGTCAGATAGATTTCTGGCAGGTGTGGGCAATGATTTCCTTTTGTAACTGTCTTTCACATTATTTCACATTAAAAATATATTTTCCCCTTGAAAGCCCACATCAAGTCATGGTGACATTTAAATTGTTTTGTAGAAATTGGGAGGGAAAACACCCTACATAGGGACCACAGTATGAAGATACAGTCTCTTCAGTCATAGTATTTTAGACACTTTATAATTCTCTCTATATTTAATTTTTTTCTTCTTCCTTTTTCCATTCCTATGAAATCAATAACAAACCAAGTTTTGTTGGGTTCTGGGCAATCCACACTTCACCATGCTACAGTAACTTGAGAGGCATTACAAAGGGGAAACAAAGTATGAGCTCTAGTGAGCATTTGGTCTGAGCAGAGACTATCCAAGATGGGCATTATCACTTGTTTTTAAGCATCCCGTCCTTTTGGTACTTGGACAGGGTGTACCACTTCTGTAAAAGTACGGGGAAAAAAGATGAATAGTTTATTCAGAATCCAGAAGGCAGACATCAGGAAATGTAAACATACCACCAATGGGCAGACTACTGATACACCCTTGTTCCTCTTCTTTATCTTGCATAATGGTGAGTCATCGTAGCAACAGAGAGGGCACTTCTTGGACTGCGCTACCTGCTGACAGCACTTACCATCCAGGGCAGTACAAGTGGAAATGGAAAAATTTCAAAGAAAGAAAGGCAGGCTCTGTCACCCCATAAAATGTTTGCTGCTAAGGTAGAGAGCCAGATGCTCCATGGTGGCAACATGATGGGGAGCCTGCTCCAGGAAGCCAGTGGCAGCCACAGTGACAGTTTGGCATGTCCTGGTTGCTGCCTAATGAGCTCATCTCTTGCTGATTCACACACCCTCAGCCCGGAGGTGACTGGCTTCCTATGAGTTAAATATGATTGTTGACAAGATTTCCATTGGTGAAGGAAACAGATGAAGGCTTTTAGAAGTATGTTTGGGGTGAGAAGGTGAAACATACCCCAAAACAGGATCCCGTTGGTAATTGGGTGGACAAGGCGTGTCGATGCACTGGTAGCTCCCTCTCATGTTGAAGCACATGCGATTTGGCCCACAGCGTACGTTCTGTTCCAGACACTCATCTACATCTAGGGACCACAGAACACCAGCATCATGAGTGGGGGGTCAGTAAAGGCTATCGGTACCAGACACTGGTATTTGGCTGGGATATGGAGGTAGTCCTCATCTCTCCCCTGCATGAACTTGCCCTGCCCAGGCTTCAGTCACACAATGGGGAGAATGAACCTTGGTGTATTTATCTCCCAGGTTGCTTCGAGGACATATGCTTCCTTAATATACTTTTACTTAAAGGTCATAAGAAAAATAAGAGGTATGAATTGAAAAGGGAGCTGTGAAGAGTTCTCTAGCATCTCTTACTTGGAAATAGAGTGCATATGAGTTTATCAAGCAAATAATATTTTAAGTGCACTATGAGTAAGCTAAAACGTTAAAGGACACTTGTGAATATTATGTAAAGTGAAGAATCTTTTTACCACTAGTGATCTTTGTGTTATAAATTCAAATTGTGAAGAGGGAAAGAGGGCAGTAAAATTAAAAGCCATGCTGTAAATTCAGGGGAGACAGGTCAGTCAAATATTGAGGAGAGAGACAAAGTGAAAATGAATGGCCCCCAAATTACAGTCCAAATTTCATCAAATGGAGCAGAGTCCAGCCACTTTGACTACAGAGACCATCAGCAGCGTGGCATGGGACACTTTTCTTTGGGCATGTAAAACATGTATTTTGTTGTTTCCTACACAATTATTAAGTACACATACTGAAGTCATTAGAGTTAAGAAACATTAATAGAAAACTTGTACTATAATTCTTAATTTCAGGTTCGGATTTGAGCATTACAGGACTTGTGGATGAAAGTGTGTGTGCGCGTGTGTGTGTGTGCGCGTGTGTGTGTGTGTGTGTGAGAGAGAGAGAGAGAGAGAGAGAGAGAGAGAGAGAGAGAGAAAGGAAGGAAAGGAAGTGAAGGAGGGAAAAAGGAAAGGAGCGAGGAAGACAGAGAGGAGGGGAGAGGAGGGGGGAGCGAAAGAGAAAGATACTTATGAGTGAGCACACATCCAATTCATTTTTTCCTTCAAACTGGGATTTTGGCAGTACGTGAAGGCTTTCTACAGAATGAAAGCAGGCAAAAGGAATCAGTTTCCACATCGTCATTTTACACAAGTTCACCTTCTCCAAAGCAATCTACCAGAGAACTTCCTGTGGCCAGGTTTCCTTTCACAACCTTCTTCCTTTCAAAAGGAAGGCTGCAAAATCTCAGGGCAAAAAGGAAATGTGAGCATGTTACATATCAGTGCCACATATTGATGGAGAAAAACTTTTTTTTTAAATCATGGCAACAAACCCACAATGTTAGCTATTTGAAATTAGATTTGAAAGCGAGTTGCTTGTCATGGGAATACCTCCTAACACTTTCACCGGAGCAGAAAACAGCTGTAGACTTTCTGGCAATCAGTCTGACTGGCCTGACAATGAGCATAGGTTTGAAATTATTTTAAATTATATAGTGGCCATTCTTCATTAGTTAAAGGGAATTAAACCCGAAACTCCAAACTTTTGATGAAAACATATTTAATACATGTACATATTAAATAATGACAGAACTCATACCCTTTGTGACTATTTAACCTTAAGAAGCTTGAGGCTTGGAAGTTCTTTAGAAATTGAGTAAGAGAGGTTTACAGTTGGTTTTCAAAGCCTGAGTCCCCTGTCTGCGTAGAGGTGTGTACAGCAGCCCTCCTTCCAAGGTGACAGGAAGGAGCAATGACAATCAAATGACCAAAATCAGGTTTCCCAAGAGGTAAACTCCGAAAGCTAAACCCAGGCCTATCATGGAATTGGTGCCGAGCAACTGGCTGGTGTAACTGTTCTTCCATTTCATACAGTAGCTGACGATAAACTGCATCATGACATTCACACTGGACTTGAGTTAAAACTGTGAAGTACTTTTGGGAACAAACAACTGGAATAGTGCTAGAAAGAATGAGAAAGGACAGAAAGGATTCCAAGAGACACTGTGTTAATCATGTACAACAAATGTCATATTTTGTTTGAGCTATTTGCCATTTGCATGCCTGTATTTAAATGAGCATTTTAGATTTATTCCAAATATATTGTTTTCAAAGCAGTTATTTAGCTTACATTTAATAACAGTTACCTAAAGTGAAATCATGTCTAGAAAAACAGGCAGTACATCACTGAATTGACTCTTCAGGTATTTGCACTGTGCTGACAATGATCAGATCAGGTATTTTCTGCTCCTAGTTTTATGTTAGGACTAGTTTTCTTACAGAAACAAATCCCAGTGTGATACAGGTATTTTTTTTTTATTTCAGCACAGTTTTGCCCATTATCTTGGCGGGCCAATTTCAAATTATGATTTTTTCTGACATAAGTGCTTTATCTCTTTCACAAATTGAGATCGTCTCCGAAATGAAATAAAAAGCCCTTGAGGAATATGGGAAAGAAATTCTTTTTTTTTCAGTCAGTGCTCTTAACCACTGAGCCATCTTTCTAGCCCTGAACCTGTTATTTAAATAAATACATGCATGTGACATGCAAGCAGAAGGGGAACTATTGGGGGGGGTTCAATGAGAGGAAGGGAAGAGAGGTGGGGCAGGCAATGGGGGAGGGGCAGAAGTGAAGCGTGTGCATGAGAATATCAGAAGGAAACCAATTATTTTGAACACAAAAAATAAAGGGACAAAAAAGAAAGCCCACTGAATTATTTTCTAAACAGAAGAACCACTATTTTTTTTTTTTCTATTGGGCATTCAGTCTTAACACTCAAATGCTAATGCCACCTTGTAAATGTTTGCACTGCACTAAGGCCTTTAGTTGCTTCCAGCAAATGTGGGAAATGTTTATTGGCCTTAAGGACTGTGCTCCAGCTTTTGAAAAAACTGTTAGCAACATATTCTGTTCCAAAGGCCAAAACTGTCAAAAGTACTTGGGAGCTTGTATCTAATCCTTAAAAGATTTTAAGGTTACCTCTTCAGAGGGGGGAATGTTGGAGGGGAGGGAGTGGGCATAGATTTGATCAAAACACCTTATATACACGTATGAAATTCTCAATAAAGTTTTTGTAAAAGTTTAAAAAAATTAAGATAAAAACAAACAAACAAAAAACCTGTATGTCTTTAGTCCATAATAAAGATTTTTTATGAGTATTATATTGCTAGACAGCTGCTTCTCCTTTATATTTGGCCTATGACTATCTTCTCAGGATTAAGGAGGATCATCTCAAGTTTACTCTAGGATTAAGTTCCTGTGGGAATTCTCTCTTCTAAGTCATTCTACTAACTGTTATTAAAAAAGGAAGACAAAACAAAAGGACAAACAGAAAGAGATATAAGGCCAGGTGTGGTAGCACACGCCTTTAATCCCAGCACTAGGGAGGCAGAGGCAGCAGGATCTCTGTGAGTTCAAGGCCATCCTGGTCTGTATAGAGAGTTGTAGGCCAGCTAGGGCTACAGAGACCCTGTCTCAGAGAGAGATGGGACAAGGGGAGGAGAGAATATTCGTGTCTTCTACAACAGACAAAATGATGATATCTGGTTTTATTCAGCATTATAAAAATATTATGGGAGAAATTTAAGTACAGGCACCTTATAAATATGACCACTACAAAAAAGAATTGCAAAATAAGCTAGAGAAATTTTATATCAACGGCATTAGAAAATATGAATGCACTTAAGCAAGTGCTTCTGGATACTTTAAAAATTAAGGATAAATATGCTTGAAATACTCTGTCTTATAGAAAGTATAAGTAATTTTGATTCCTGATAAACATTATGGATAACTTTTTGGAAAACATGGATAGAGCACTCATTTCAAATGCAATGTCAATATAATATTTAAAATTTTCAGTCTTGATTTGTGCTACATAAAATGAGGCTAAGGACCTTTCAGCTTCTTGCTCCTCAGGGAAGTCTAGATTGTTCATGCTTTATGTATTCTGTCTTTCACTTTGTGGCCTGATGGCTTCCACTTTTGACGGAAGTCTCTGTCTTGGGTCCCTGCTGTACTGTTCACTGGAATTTTCCAGTTCTCATGGACACTTCTGTCACTAATGTAGAAAGTTTAAAAAAAATATATACAAATGGAAAAGTCTCATGCTCCTCATAAATGCCTCAAACACTTTCCAAAGCTATAAAGAGACTCCATGTTGTTCTTTAAAGACTGATTTAAAAGGCAAAAATGTTTTCTCTCATGTCTTTTTAAAACCGCAAAAATATGTAACCCATTTAAATTGCAATCATTTCAGTGACACCTGTTTCTGATTTGTTCACAGTATTTTCCACTCTGTAGCACACATGAAAACTTTAAAACATTTTGAGCTAAATGAGTGACAAAGGCAATTAAAAAAAACTGGCAAAATTTAGAAAAGAAGAAAAATCTCTCTAATGAGTGTATAATGTAACCCTTTAAATGTGGCTAAGGGATTCTGTGGTTTTGTTGGTAACTGCAAATACTTTGCTCTCTGCAGTGTTGTTCTTTGGGCTGTGGTACAATATGGGAAGGCTGGCGGTAGTTGTAGTTTTTGGCATAGTTTGGCTTCCTCTTTTAGAATGCTATTTGGGCTAAAGAACTGAGACAGGTTCTGAAACATGGAGAGCCAGTACTCCCCACACCTGTTCTGTGGTGTGCTGCCCATGGCATTCACAGCACCATCAGGAAGATAAAAGGCCATCGGAGAGTATGGAATCTGAGCTGATGCTACCTTTGGTCCTGGCTGCTCAGGAGTATAAGGTTCACACAGTCACTCTAAGAAGTAGTTTCATTGCCATATAATGAGTGGAAATCATATCTAAATTGTTGATTCAAGTGACATAATAATTGCTTTGGAAAAACAAGAGAATATAAATATGTTATTGTGGCATAAATATCAGTAAACTATTCAGTGTAGGGCATATTCTTAATAATGTTCAGTGACTGATGGGTGAGAGCAAGGGCTTACTGAGTTCAGGTTCCTTCTCAACTCCAACAATGTAGCAGGGACTCTTAGGGAGTATGAAGAATAGGGAATGGGTGGATCTTGGTAAGTGAGGTAAACCATCCTCCTTGGGTCTGGGACCCAAGGCACATCTTCCATAAACTACATTCCTAGCAAGTCTTTTGTGAAGTTGAAAAAGGGAAATTCAATCACAATTTGTTACTGATATAGTAGTCTCTTAAAGGTATTACTGGTATATTTCACAAAATGATGTAACTTGTATATGACAGAAAATAATAAAATTCAGAAGCATATATCATGCTTAGATTTTTGTTTATAAAATTGAGGGGGATTCTTAGAGAGATTAAAAGGTTAATAAACTCTTATTTCATTTTAATCCAAGGGTACGTTGCAATATACTATACCCCACTAAAGTATCATTCTCTTTTTATGTTTTTGTCAGGCTGGAAAAGGAAACTCTTGGGTTGGTGAGATACTTGGGCAGGTACAGCACTTGCAGCTTGATGAGACTGACTACTGAGCTCCATCCCCAGAATGCACATAAAGGACAGACTCCACAAAATCGTCCTTTGACTTTACATGTGCACCCTAGTCTGTGCCTCCTCACCACCTCTCTCTCACATATACATATTAATAATGATGATAATAATAAATTAATAAAAAAATTTAAATGGGAATTCTTGAAATGGGTTTTTTCTTTCCGTTTTCACTGTTTGCCCTCAGCTTCACTACGAGACCTATAAGGCAGTATTTTGTTTATTTTTGTCTCTGAGTCATTTATTTTCACCCTTTGCCTTTCAACACAACTAACATATAATCGTTAGATACCATTTGTAGGCTCAGAGTAAACAGATTATCATTGTTTCGTCATTGATCACTCTAAAGATAAATCTAATGAGATAAATGCATAAAGTTGCCCCTCATACAACAGTCAATATATTAAGTACTCTTTTCATTTCCCTTTCACCTTAGAAAATGGTGAAAACAGTTTGAAAAGATATGTTCCCATCAAGTTTGAAAAAATCTGTAACATGAACTGGGTTAATGATTCCTCAAGTAAGACTATACCAAATCTATGTCTTAACTATTTTCCTTCACTGAGCTGCCTTTTGCTTTTCTTATCTGCAAAAGTAACGTTTAAACCCAAGTCTGACAAATGGGAATGGGAAAGGAGGGGAAGAAAGCAGAGGAATAATCATTTACAAAATGTCTTCTATTTCCCGCTTTATGTCAGCTCACAGAAATGAACATTCCAGCGTCTTCTCACCTTGGCATGTTTTGCCATTGAGCATGAGCTGATAACCGGGTGGGCACACACACTGGTAGCTTCCAATGGTGTTTTTACACTCGTGCTGGCAGGTGCCTCTGTTTTGACATTCATCAATATCTGTTCGGAAAGAAAGCAGAGTGTATAATCATGCCCAAGACGAGCAGAAGCTACGGCAGAGCCCACCAAAGCAAATGGGTGCTGTGCAATAGAAACATTTGTTGGTGATTTTACATCTGTGGTCATAAAAGTGCTCACAGCTGTTTTATATCAAGGTCTGTTTTTAATGATATAAAATATTAACCACATTACAATACATAGAATATTATGTTATAAACAATGAACATCCCTCTATAATTTTTACATTCTGCATATATGGGCAGAAGCCCCGACTTGGTCAACTCTTCTGTTTGTTAAATAATTAGACTGAAAGGACAGGGGCAACAGATTTGTATAAGATCCTAAACCATGAAGAAGTAAACTCTCACCAGAATGGTAGAATTTACCTGAAAGTTTCTTTTGAGATTAAATGGACAAAGGAGTATCTGTTTCTATTTTTCTAAACTTTAAATGTTTCTTTCCTTGCATAACCTTCCTACAATATCAAGCATAGCTTTCCCATACACAAACACTATCAGATAGAAATGGTTTTATTTTGCAATTGAAATATTTATCAAACTCATCATTCAATGTCAGAGCACTAGTGGCAACTGCTTTTTTACAGCTGTGCTGAATCTGGTGCCACTTAACCTCAGAAGATCTCAGCTGATTCTTTTGCCAAAAGGGAACAGCATGACTATCTATTCTGCTTCACAGGTTTGTTTGAGGATTCATACACTGCAATATGTGGCAAGACACTTCATGAACCACAAAGGGCCTATTTGATGTTATTAAGCAAAGTCCCCCAGAACAATAAGTAAAAGGAAAGTAAGAGTAGATGATAATTAAAAATTGAGATTTGTTTTTATAGCCCAATTGAAACTTGTTTTGAGGTCCTTGGGCACAGACTAACACTGGAGACTATGACATGTGAAGGGAACAGGTATGAGGAAGGGCAGGGATAAAGAAAAGAGAAAGTCTGGAAGACGACTTAGAGCAAATGGATCTGTTCTTGTGTGTTTTGCACATGCTGAAAATATAATTGTTAATGATCAAAATCTGTTAAAGATAGTAAATATTAATTTCCAATGTTTATGTGTCATTTTGGCTAACCAAAAAATTCATTACATACTTATCTGAATTAGTTTTGCTTTTTATATTTAAATATCTGTTTTAATCTAAAACAACAAGAACAGAAACTCAAATTATGTTGAACTCCATGTAGTCCACATGAAGCTTCTCATCACAGGAATTTTAAAGTGGCTTCAAGTATGAGCTCTGCACTCTGAAATGAAGCAGCAGTCATTATTCTTGTGATACCTTGGGATCAATTCCTTAAAAGCTAAATTTTAGCCCAAATCTAACAAGATTCCACAGAGTTAATTTAAGTCTTTTGTAACTTGTCTATCCCAGATGGTTAATTAAAAGCAGTTGGTGTTTATTTTAAGTTGCTCTTGTTAGATAATTCCAGAGCTGTCTGCAGTCTTAGTGTAAATTTCTTTATAGTGCCAATAAAATACTCACCATATTTTAAGCAATGTCTAAACATACTCATTGCCTCCCAAATAAATGGAACTATTCAGAAAATTGTGAGTTAGGAAAGTTTAGTTTTCATTTTATAGGTTTGATCCTCACTTTGAAACAGTACCTGTCTCAAACAATGGATGGCTATCTAAGGAAAACAATTTTGATGTACCTTAGTGTTGGTGCACTATAAACATCAAGACAGAAAACATTTATTTGGTTCTACTTTGATGAAACTGCAGCTACAGGCAATGATGAAAAAGAGAGAACCAAGTTGTTAATCAGAGAAACTTTCTAAAAACTATCTTGCATCTTCAGGTGTTAAATGATAGCAGCTATATGGTGCACTGTGCGGGTGTACGGGGTTAGTTCACTTATAATGTAAGCTTTAGCAAAGATCTTAAGGGAACAGAACAAAAGCGGAACGGGAAAAAGATCTGTCCAAAATGGAGACTGAAGTGGAATGGTAACAAACCCACCAGGAAGAATAACTTTTGGAAGAAACTTGAAAGGCAAAATGTCAATAGAAGAATAATGAAAAGTTTTGACTATTGAGATTGTTGGCATGAAAAGGTGCCAACACGCAGGATGGCTTGCAGTGCAGAGAAGTCATAATTATGTAGTGTTTGTCTGTACTGGGAAAATGTATGGCATCGTTAATAAATGCATTAATGTTTGAAGCATAAACTATTGACACTGTCCACAGTTCTGGGAAGCTCATCACGAAATGAAGTTTACATATCTACAGTAGTAAACTTCAGGAACATCAGGATAACTAGAAAGAAAAGCACTGGAAAGATGTGAACACAATAACAAAGTGTAAAGCTTGAGTTTTCAGAGGACTGGAGAGTTTGAGCCAAAGAGATAGAGAAGCTATCCTAAGGCTGACCAAGGAAGAGTGTCAGAGAAGCTGGGTTCACCTAAGGTTGACCACAGAGAGCCGTGCCAGACAGCTTTAGCTGTCAACTTGACACACCTGGATAGAGGGAACCTCAATTTAGGAGTTTCCTCCATTGGAATGGCCTGTGGCCATGTATGTGGGGCATTTTCTTGATTGTTGACTGATGTGAGAGGGCCCACCCCACTGTAGGCAGTCCCACCCCTGGGCAGGTGGGTCTGTATTGTATAAGAAAGCAGACTGAGCAGAGCTAAGAGCAAGCCAGTAAGCAGCATTGTGCCATGGTCTATGTTTCAGCTCCTGCTCCAGGCTCCTGCCCTGAGTCCCTGCTTTGGCTTCCTTTGATGAACTGTGACCCGGGAGATGTAAGAGAAAAGAAACCCTTTCCTTCCTAGTTGGCTTTAGTCAGTTTTATCACAGCAATAGAAAACTAAAACAAGTGTCAGATGAGATAAGGATGCAATGGAAAAGAGTAAAGAAATGAGAAAACAAGTCAAGCCAGAGAAGAAAACCTCAAAATACTTTAAGCAAAACAGAAAACATATGTAGCTGAAAATAAAATGTAGGCCACTTAAGAGACTGTGATGCTGGCCTAATGGTCTCTGAATTTAAATAGCACTTTTTTTCTCCTCCTCGCTCTTCTTGTTCTCTCCTGACATCTAACAAATAGCAAGGCTAATTTCTGTTTACTAATTCTTCTCGCCGCCCAGCTCAATCCCATGCAAACTGTAGATACTCACAAAATTGAGTTAAATGAATAACAGATGGTAATGTTTACAACTTCACTGGAAATAGGGCCTTAATTCTTCTGTGGGAAATTACAGGTCATTTTGTAAATTACATTATAGACCTGTGAGCTTAGATAAAGATACAGAGTACGTGCATTTCAGAGCTATGGGAGCAGCTTGCTCTGGGTCACATAATCTTTTCATTGACAAACATACATAAAATAGTCTGAGAAATTCCATGTCATGTACAGGGATAACAGCCAATGCTGATTGTTATATAGAACAGCTGACTGAGTAGCTAAAGTGCTCACTTTACCCCACCCCCCACTTTTGCATCAAACATAGCTATGGTCTGATTGTATTACATTATGTGACATAAGTATCTGCCTTAAAAATCACATTCTGGATGACACTGAAATTTATATAGGATATAATTTAGTAACACTTTCAAGAGTGATAAAAAAGAAACATAGCACAATACATTATTAGAATGCACACATGCAAATACATCATTTATTTAGATAAAGTTTGCAATCGTCTTAGGTGCCAGAATAAATGCCTTGAAACTCTGAGTCATTCCAGACTTGAGATCAGATGTACTGCGGCGCACCAAAAACAGGTGCTATACACATGGTTAGATGCCAAACAGGAAGTGAGCCCACAGAAAGGAAATGTAATATGGTTGACATTTACCTACACATGTGTCATGCTTTGCCTCAGAGCCTTCAGGGCAAGTTTTCCTAATAGTCCTTCTAGTCCTGGAGAAAGATGCTCTGCTGTTTCTATACTCTGAGTAGGCGCTGTAGAGATGTGAGTACTGTCTGTAATGCTGTTGAGGTTGATAGTTGTTTCTCACAGGGGACAACCTCGCAAGGTTATAGCTACTGTACTGAGTGCCAAAATTTGGCAGTCTCTCCAATCCAGCGCAAGATTTCCCGTCCCCTAATAAATGTTGTCCTGGTGGACAGATACACTTGAAGCTGCCAGGGGTGTTGGAGCATTGATATGCACAAGGTTTAGGCACTTGTTCACATTCATTAATGTCTGCTCGTGTGCCATGATACATAAAAAAGAGAAAACAAACATACATACACACAAAACACAGGAATAAACAATCAGTCTGTGGAACAAACCAAAGACATCATGCTACTCTCTAAAGATGTAACTACAATAATTTCTCCTCAATCACTGCAAAACTTTGAGAGGGCTTTAATCACTTAATTCTGAATATATTGAAATATTCTGTGTCTCTTCCTACACTTTTCATATGTGCACGTTTTATTCAAACATCCATGCTGCAGCAGGTGGCTCAGAAAACTAGGCACGAGTTCTGGGAATCCGGCCTGCTTCTCTTCACCGTTACTGCCTCAAGACCCAATGGAGCAGTTCAGCCTTGTCTCCTTGACTTAAAAGCAAAAACAAACTTGGACGTTGTACTAGTTTAGGCTAACCTGGCACATCTCTTCATATGTAATGTGTAAGACTGGCATTTAGATTTTTTTGTATACATTTTTAATTTTTTTATTATTTTTCTGCCCTGAATGCTTTTATTTATTCTACAATGTTCCCCTTTTGCCTTTCCTTATACATTTTTTAGACTATCATATAAAGCAATGGGTTTCATCATGGACATGTTATAAACCTTACATTCAGTTTTCTGAGTTATACTAGGTAGAGACATGCTAAATTATTAAAAATTTTATGCCACCTTTGGGAGTAAAGATACAAAAATGTGGGATCTAAATTAATATAATTTTCACAAAGCTACAGTTGTTTAAATGTCTCAATATATATCTCCTAATAAAATGCTATATGTACTTTTTCAAAGCTTTTGTTTTTTTTCTCTTTTGACTATTAGATGTATTTCTGGCTTTCCTAATTGATTGACACTGTTGAAAACACTCTGGAATGTTTAGATATGATTTTGTAAAGACACAAGGACCTTCTTCTTGTTCTTTTTATGTAAGTGAGCCCTGTCCTTCTACACCCATCTTGGTCCTCATAATTTCCTCTCCACATAGCAGCCAGAGTGTTCACTCCCAAATGGAAGTCACTTCACACCTCTCATGTATCTTCCCATTCCACAGTTAGAAGAACATCCAAACTCTTTGCTGTGGCCTCTTTATCCTCTGCCCAAATCTGCTCCAACAGTCCAGGCCTTGTGGCTGTCTCTCAGCACGGTCAGTGTGCTCCTACCTGTGGAGTTCTGCCCTGGCTGTATCCTCAGCACTTTCTCTGACTTCCCCTTCATTCTGCTCTAAGTGGGACTGGGATCATAGTGCAGTCACCCTGGCTTGGCTCACTCTTTCCCTGGCCCTGTTTGATTTTCTTAGATTGTTTATCAGTCTCTGAAATTGTACTCATGTTTATTCTGGGAGTTTCTTTCTCCTCATGGATGTATACTTCACAATGAAAGAGAACTGGTATACACTGTTTAGCATTGTCATACTACAACCTAGAACATCACCCAGCACAAATTAGGTGCTCAGTAAGTACTTATAGAATTAATGAAGGAATGAGTATTAATGGCATGTGTCAAGTTGAGCCACCAACAGTAAAAATAAAAACCTAAATCAAAAAAAAAAAAATGTTGTATAGGGAACTGTGCTCTTAAATACCAAGAAACCAGAGTTAAAATGTTAATTAGACTCTTAATTCTGCTGAATCACATCTCTAGTGTGCATTCAAGTATAATACTCTTTAATAGTACATATGATCTCCCTACAATTGCTAGTTTCAGATGTGGATATTGGCAGAAGTACGACTTGAAAAATTTGTTTTAATTATTAAGTTTGAGTTAATAGTCGAGCCAAGCACATTTCCCTCTTCCCCAATATTGAGAGACAAAGACACAGAATCACATTTTACTTAAATAAAGCCTCATAATACCTTTGAAAATTTATAAAAGCTATAATTTCATGTATTTTTACTTATATGTCAACACATTGAATATTTACTTGCAACTCTTCTTGTAAATTGGGAAACCTCATGAAAACCAATGATCAAAGCCAAATTCCTCAATCCATTTAATAATGGATTGAAGTGGCAGAAAAACAACAAAAAATTCTTAAAAGTAGTAATTTTGCTTTAAAAGTTATTCTAGAAAGCAAAAATTAAAATGAACATTTAAACTCCTTAAGGCACTGATCTCGCTTTCTTCATTTACTCCTCTGTACAATGTTAGTCATCTAAATGTTGATAAAATTACTGAACAAATAAACCTTCCACCCTGTATCTCAGCAATGATGATAAAGATATTAATTATAAGATTGAAATAAAAGTTATATATTGCATAATGTAAGTTATAAAGTCTAAGTAGAAGAACAAAATGATATACATTTCTGCTATTAAAATGTTTCTAGAAACGGTACTGGCTTGAACATTTGCTCTGTGCAAACTGCTTTGCTCGAGACTCTCTAAAAATAGAACTAATCAAGCTTTACAGAAGAATTTGCCATAAATGTTTAGTAAACAAGCAAGGCAGCTAATTTTCAAAGTATAGCATGAGATCCTGAAGTGAGCACATAAAAGCCCGTTATTTAAGGTCTGTACAATTTTTTTACTGCACCTAAATATTCAGAGGAAGAATAATAATTAAGTTTCTTGGTTATGTATACACTAATTTTGAAAGTATTTACCTTTTTGTGTGTATGTATGAGGGTATGTGGTGTGTGTGCCGGAGCATATGCTCAAGTGGAGGCTAGTGGAGGATAACCCACGTCTCACTCTTACCACTCTCCCCTTTGCCTTGAAGCAGTCTCTCACTGAAGCTCATGGTTTTGGCTAGGCTGGCTGGGCAGTTAGCTCCCAGGATCTATTTGCCTATGCTACCCAATGCAGAGGTTACAGGCAAACATGGCCATGCTCAGCTTTTTCATGCGGGTGCTGGGGATTCAAACTCAGATCTTCAGGCTCGCACAGCAAGCATTCTTACCCACTGAGCCTTCTTAGAGATACTTTCCATTATCTGATTTGCTTTCTATTCTATTATAACTAAAATAGAAACACATAGGCATTTAGAAGAACTGAATGAGACATTCTTCTACAGTGATTGACACATAGTGAACACTAAATATGGTAGACAATATAATTACCTATTCATTTAGATCGTGTTCATGTTTTAATCTCTTATGCTTAAGCTTTCATTCAATATGCAAATATATTTCATACTAAAGGTAAACGTGTCTATGCAAACACTTAAGCCATGGGACAGAGTATGAAATAATCCTGAGAATCAAGCTGTCAGGCAATTAGATTTGACGCTCACCTTGATATATGTATTATATAGGAAGGACCCAGGAAATGCACATGGTGTCACTTGAAATGAAAATATAAACTGAACTCAATCTGAAGTCTGTGAAAGTAACAAGACTATGTTATGACTGACTCAAACCAACTTGTATACCTTCTCCATGTAGCAAGAGAGCATGGGAGGAGAGAGTGTGGTCCTAAGTGTCTGGCAAGGTGAGCTCTGTTACTCAGCAAGAGTTTTTAACTTACCCATACAAGGTCTTCCAAGTCCTTGAGAGCGATAGCCCCTTGGGCACACACACCGATAGCTGCCCCGTGTGTTCTCACATAGCTGGTTATATCTGCACTGATGGGTGCCATCTTTGCATTCATCAATGTCTACAGAACACAAAGTCATTATACTTAAAATTCACATTTTACAATTTGCCAGAGGTTGTGTCTTTCACCATATCATTGAGATTATGTCAAACTAGGGGTCAGAAAATGTAGGTTCAAATCTCAGCGCTGACATTTACTAACTGGCCCCTTTTCTTCCCCTTGCTTCCCACTGAGGAGTTTTATTCTTATCTTTGCTTTTGGCTTTGCTTCTTTTTATTCCTTGGCCATCTCATTTATCCTAGTGATCAGTGTTTAGGCAGATTTGGAGCCAGAGTTCTGTGCTGCTTCTGCTCTACAGTCCACATCCCCAGCTGCTAGCTGGACTCCTCCACTTCCATGTCTTACCAGCACGTCAAAGCCAGCATATTCCAAGTCTTATCCTCATTCCCTTATTGATGGCAATAGCACTCCTGTTTTCCAAGGCTCCCTGGTTAGATCATATTAATTTTTAACTTATCCTTCCAGTTGCTAAGATTGGGTCCTTCTGCACCCTTCAACCCAAACCATATATCCATACATCTCCATTCTCACCGAACCAGACTTCTGATGTACCTTCTTAGTCTTCTGATCTTTCAGTTCATGTCATTTCTAATTATCTTAGACCTAATTATAGGATCAGCTTTCCTAAAATATTTTCAATTGTATGTGACAATTTGTGATTCTTTGAGTTGGTTGCTACTTCAGTGAAGGAAAGTATTTACCTATATCCAAAATGTTGGAGCCAAAAAGCTTTTGAAAGATGTTAGTACAATACTGCTCCTATAATTTTTTAGGTATACTAACTCTCCATGTACCTCAATTATCAACAAGTGGCCAGCATTCCTTCATCTATACCTGTAGCTCTTACCATATATTGTTTAAATGAATCCAAGCCATACTGTAACTATAAAGAATATTTCAGAATCTTTTTTAAAGGAAAATTGGTACTTTTACAATGAGAAACTTGAACTAAAATCTCTTTGTGGTTGTGAGATCTGTCCAAGTCAGAAAGCTGTCAAGAAGAAAAATACTTTCAATAGTTTTTTTCTTGTGTCCAGCTATTTCTTCTGTGCACAGGGCTTTCTTGACTTCCCTTTTCTACCATTTCTACAAATTAATAGTTCATTCAAACCTGTATTTAAATACGATCACTTCCATGACACCTTTGGCAGTCATTCTTTTCACATATGATGGCTCTGTTTGGCATTTTATGTGTATGAATGTATAGCTTGCATGTGTGTAAGTGCACCCGTGTTGTGCAATGCCCACGGAATTTCAATTATTGACCTCTGGTAGCTCAATAGACTGATAGAGAATAAATACAGAAATAGCAAAGGAGGCAAAATACAATTTATTTCATTTTCCTCCTTAATTTGACATTAAAGACTATTCAGTTCTAAAAATTTACATTTTGAATTTCAGATCAATCTCTACAAATATGTTTTTCTTAACCTCGTTGTGAAGTTCTAAATGGAAATGCTAAATTTGACGTTAGAAATGAGAGAAGGAAATATTAATTCACATGGATACTAAATTTTATAAAGAGATGTGAAGTTGATGGGAGCACAAATGTCGGTAAGCCTCACAGACGGCTTTCCATTTCCTTATGTCACCAGGGTGTGAACTACAGAGTTCAATCATGCCTAGAGTTAAAAGTGTAAATGAAGAAAGAGTTCCTTGTTGGCTAAACTGACTCTCACCGGCTTATCATTTGTTTCTAAAATGGATGCCTAATTTGACTTGGTGATAAAAAGACTTTTCTTGGTAAAGTAGACTCACACTCACCAATGCAGCTTCCATTTTCAGCCTTGGTCATTCCATTTGGACAAAGATCAATGCACTTGTAGCCACCACGGGTGTTCCGACAGTGCTGATCTGGTCTGCACACATTCTGTCTACACTCGTTCACATCTTGATAAAAGAACAAAGATATTATAAATTGAGTATATGATTGCTTCCACTTTTCCAGAGAAAACATTCCTTTAGATTTTAAGGATTTTAGCTTCCATTTTCAGCCTTGGTCATTCCATTTGGACAAAGATCAATGCACTTGTAGCCACCACGGGTGTTCCGACAGTGCTGATCTGGTCTGCACACATTCTGTCTACACTCGTTCACATCTTGATAAAAGAACAAAGATATTATAAATTGAGTATATGATTGCTTCCACTTTTCCAGAGAAAACATTCCTTTAGATTTTAAGGA